AAAAATAAGTGCGATTAAAATGCGTTAATTTTTTTAACGCGTTAATTTTTGTGTAATTAATTAATCTTAATTAACGCGTTAAAGTCCCGGCCCTAGTTATATTATAACTCGGCAAAGTTTTTGTAAAAGCAATTGTACATTTACCACATTGGTTACTGGTTCTTCTAAAACTTCTGAAGATCAAATCAACACCAATTAAAACTCCTATTTGGCAATAATATGTGGACTTTATTTGTCTTTAAACTAATTACATTTAGTATTTTTAAGTTCAGTTAATTTGGCAAGCTTTCCACACATCCTGCATGGCTGCTTTCAAAGAACCCCCCACAGTAAAGTACCTGTTGGTTGGAATCACTGATTTACCAGATGGAGAGGCATGATTTCAGAGTAAAAATGGAAACCATTAGGCTTGTTCTTTTTTTGGCTTGTTTATGAAGAACATGAGTTATTGAATTCAGCATGCGTGGTACCTTGTTTATTGGTTTTCCAAAAAGTTTTTCTTATGAAGTGGGGAAAAAGTCTCCCTAAAGGCTCCTGGTGCTTTTCATCCTTCGAGGACAGAGGTAAACTCTGACTTTTTCCTGAAAAGAGACGCAGCTCAGTGTGGGGGCTCACTGGTGTTTAGTACCGGCCTTTTTTGGGTCCCATGTGTCCAATGCTTTTTATAACAAGCATCCAACAGGTAAGATGTAGGACAGAGGGCAGTCTTTGCTGAGTGAGTAACAGATATAATGGCTCAGCTGAGAGCACGCTGGCTCAGTTTGGCTTTGGTTCAACAGCATTCGATTTACTTTAGCTACAGCTACATTTACACTTATGCTGACGATGGTCTTTTCTGCGTGTCTGTTCGCATAAAGTCATCCTCAATGTGAGTAACATTTCATCTGACTTGAATTGATCTCAGCCTTTCAAAAACCACTGCTTATGCTGTCTTTCAGGTTGTGTTTTCATCAAGGGTTGATAGAATTGCTCACAATAAATGATTTGTATCTTTACATGCTACATCTCTATAACTGATGAGTCTTTTGAGAGTTTTGTAATGTGTGGTAAGATTTGGCTTTTGTTTAGTTAACATCTGCAGTCGTGTTTTCCGATCAGCCCCCTCTGCCGTGACTCACAATGCCTCCTTGTCGAGTCAATAGAAGGTTGTCGTGATGTCTAGTTGAAAGGGAATCACTGAGGGGAGGAACCCGGTGAGATCAAAGTCTCTCAGCCTCAGAAAGAATCATCCTGTGTTTGTTTGCTGCCGTTACCACTGCATTGTTTTTTCCCTTTGCAGATGAAGTGAAAGTCAGGAAGCGTCTGTCAGGACTTCCTTTTCTTGAGTAATAATTCAATACCTTCCTTGTCTGCTGCTGTTAAATGTCTCTAACATAATGAGAACATCAAAACTACCCCAGCAGCAGTCATCTTAGACCACATTTTCATATGAATACTGTTTTGAATACTCCAAAGTTTCTTTATCAGCTTTTATGACATGTGACCTAATGATTCCAAATGCATGCAGAATTACAATATTGTTAAGAAAATGTGGTTCTTTCTTCTTTTAAAATAATTTTTTTTTCAAAGGTTTACCCCCCCCAGTTGTTCCCTTTCCCAGACTCCAAATCAATGCAGCATTGTATCTCAACACTGGAGGGGTGGGCTTACCTCTTTTGTTTGGATTTTTATATTTTATACGAATAGTGTTATTGAAATTCAGCTGTTGTTAATTAAAACGTTTCCTCTTTTTTGAGCTTTCATGTCATGAGAACCCAGTGACTCCAAATGCAGCATTGTACATTGTATTACTACATTGGACAAGTAGGAAATACCTATATTGCTTGTAAATCATTCTTCTTGAAAAGTCTCAAAAAGTGGCTTTCATTCCATGTCCACCCAGTGACATCCAAACTGGATATTCTTTTTTTTTTTTCATTTGGTGCCATCCTTGAATTATTCACACCTCTGAGCTTTGAGGTTTTTCACTCACAGATCACATACAGTGGGAGTGCATTAACCTTGGTGTGTGTGTCCCCCAGGAGGCCGAGGGGTCCTTGCCCTACCTGCTAGTGCTGTGCGGGGACCACGGCATGTCGGAGACCGGCAGCCACGGAGGATCCTCCGAGCCGGAGATCAATACGCCCCTGGTGCTCTTAAGTCCAGCCTTCAAAAGAAAAGGTAAACCGTCTAAATTTTCTTAAATAAGCTATGGGCAGATTCTGTGTGGCGGGGGGGGGGCGGTGATACCATTACAGCTTCAGCCTATCAACATGCAGAGTCATGAAGTGTGTGGACAAGACGTGATTTTATATAACTAATAAAAGCGATAATTGGGAATGTTGGAAGTGGGGTTGTATGAGGTTCTTATCCATAGTCAGTGTATTCCCTACAGTAGATGGATGTCAGCGCAACCCCCCCCCCCTGTTTGGAGTAACATATATTAGTACCAGCAAGAAGCTAAGCAATGTACTGCTGTGGGTGGAGGCAGCAGAAAAACAAAGGCAACAAAATAGTATCAGTTAAAGTCAGTGCCATATCCTGATCCTCTAATAAACCCTCATTTTAAAGCGTCTTTGAGAACAAGAAAAAGCGCTATATAATTACCATCTAGTATTATTATTATATTGCTTTATGCTTTAATGTTCAAAAAGCTCTTTATTTTTCTCATACTACCTGTGCTGCAGCACCTCTTTTCACCCTCTGTCTGAAACCAGAGCCCAGTCTGCTCTGATTGGTTGCATTCACGTAGAAGGTGTTGGAGAGCTAGCCAATAGAAGTGCGAGTGTCACATAGTGATGTCACTATGTCAAGGAAGTAAACAAAGGACTACAATCAAGGCGTTTAAGGCACATGGGGTGCCTGTGGGAGAGAAACTCCCTCTGGAGGGAACTTTGGGATTTTAGCCTTTGCAGACCATTAACATGCACAAACAGGGAAAGTGAAAAGTCCAAAAAGCAAAATAGGGCCTCTTGGTTTACTGAAAAATGATGCACTCGTTGTAGCGAGTCTATAATTTGTTAGGTCCATGCTCAAAAATGTCAGGATGAGATTAAACATGCATCATTTTTCAACTACAGTTGATTTCAAGACAATTCCCAGACATTATATACAGGGTTCGTACGGTCATTGAAAACCTGGAAAAGTCATGGAAATTCAAAATGCAAATTCCAGGCCCTGGAAAAGTTATGGAAAACAATATTTTTCCCAAAGTTTTGGAAAAGTCATGGAAATGTAACTAAAGTTGCATCAAATATAATTTACATTTGATCTAATCGCCGAAATAATCTGCGGTCGCGAGCTGTTATGTTTTTCTGTCGCAATATCATTTAAGGAATCGTTGAGCTAGCTAGCTAGCATACATTGTCACTATCTACTAACATTAGCTTTAGCCTTCGTTTTCTAATAGTTTTTTTCATAGGCTATAAACAGAGGTGGTATAAGTATAGATATTGTACTAGAGTAAAAGTAGAAGTACTCAGATCTTGTACATAAAAGTAGAAGTACTCAGATCTTGTACTTGAGTAAAAGTAGAAGTACTCAGATCTTGTACTTAATAAAAGTAGAAGTACTCAGATCTTGTACTTGAGTAAAAGTAGAAGTACCAGAGGAATACTCTTATCACAGTAAAAGTCCTGCATTCAAAATGTCCCTCAAGTAAAAGTAGAAAAGTATTATCATCAAAATATAGTTAAAGTAGCGGCAGTAAAAGTAGTGATTGTGCAGATTGGTCCATTTCAGAATAATAGATATGATATGTTTTACAATGATTGATCATTAAAGTGTTCTCAAAGCTGGTAAATAGACCCTCCAGAAAAACGCGGGCTAAAATCCTTGATTATGCGATTAAACATGCAGGGTTTTTATGTGATTTTATGTGGTGAAATTGCGGGAAGTTGCGAAATATGCGGAAAGTTGCGGAAAAGAATAGATTTTTTTTTCAATATTGGGCTGTCTTATTTAGTCTCTCTCACAAAACCTGCCACTAACGTTAAACCCCTTTCCTATTCAATTAAACACATTCAATGTTTATTTATTGTAAAAGCAATTGGGCTATTTTAATAACACTCTCTCTCTCTCTCTCTCACACACACACACACACACACACACACACACACACACACACACACACACACACACACACACACACACACACACTTCTCCGCCTCATTCTGTTTTCATTTACTCGTTCGTTATCTGACCAGCTTCAATCTTGTAGGCTACTCACTTCGTTTCTTGTAGCCCTCGAAAGCGTTTTGGAGGTTGATGCCTCGGTGAACGTGAGTTGTTTGGCTTTCTTGTCCGCAGCAGCTGAAAGCATTTTCGAATGTTTGAATGAATCAAAGTGGGTCATCACGTCGATGTTCTCTTATGCTCCAACACACAGTTGCACGGGGTGCAGAATAGTTTCCCCCCTCTTTTGTGAAAGACATCGGGGCACTGCTTTGCCCGCTTTTTAGCAGAAATGTTCGTCGGTAAATGAGATGGATCAGATTTTTTCATCTTGGTGTTTTCTCTCTCGTGTGAGTTCCACACGTTCACTCTACGGTGTTGTTTACCTTCTGTGATGCGCGAGCTGATGACGTCACGTCATCATCATCACTACTTCACGTCAATACGAGTTAACTTTTTTTTTTCTCAACTTTGTGTGGAAAAATGCGGGGATTATGCAGCCTTTTGATAAATATGCGACCTTTTAAAAATCTGCGGCATTTTGCTGATTATGCGGTAAATTCTGCGATCGCAGAATCGCGTTTTTCTGGAGGGTCTAGGTAAAGGTGCAGCTAGTTTGAATGACTTTGTATACTGCAGGGTAGCTTGTGAATTTACTCCAGGTGGAACTGAAGTCTGATTCAACACTTGATTATATTTCACATCATTCATCCACATCTGTGAAGTAACTAAAGGTATTAAATACATTTAATGGAGGAAAAGTACACCTTTTACCTCTGAATTGTAGAGGAGTAGAAGAACAAAGTAGCAAAACATTGAAATACTTAAATAAAGTGCAAGTATCTCAAGATTGTGCCCACGTATAGTACTTGTTGAGTTTATTAACTTAGTTACTTTACACCAGTGGCTATACAGATAAAAAGACTAAGCCTTGCACAGAGGCATAAAAATACATTTTCAAAATGCTCAACAGTGCTGCCAAAATTATAAACTGACTGCTACACAATTCAAATAAATGCTTTTGTATATTGCTATTATATGTGACTCTTTGGCGTTTCTGTTATTATTAACACTGCTGCTTTAGTTGTTCTGACTGCTAAAATCCTCTGTTATTCCTCATTTTAAAGCCAATATTCCGTGGGGTCAGGGGGCTCGGATCCTTGTCACCTTTTTCATACCTGATGAGTTTGCATCCCTGACTACAGTTGCTTTAAGCGTGTAGAAGCTAATAAGCCTACTATTTGATTTGTTTTAGATAGGCATAACATGTTTCATATGCAGACCTTATTTTCCTGTTCCATGTTAAAATAAACCATTTTCAGTTGTCATCTTTTTTTGGTCATGGAAAATGAGGTAAAGGTCATTGAGAAGTCATGGAAAAGTCATTGAAAATCATTGGTGAAAAAGTGTATGAACCCTGTATATAACCGGTATTGGCAAAATGATCTCTGTATGCCTTTTAATCTTATACACTGATTAAAAAATAAATAAAAAGGTTTTGTTTTGCCAAAGTTACAGTTGTTCCAAGTGCACACCGTTTAACTGATATTGTTTCAGGTTGCTAAAATATGTTTAGCTGCTGTCTCATCCACAGCAGTACATTGCTTAGCTTCCATATCGTACATTTTAGCAGTTTTTAAATGATGCAAGCGTGCCAATCGCCACCGCAGCAGGTAGTACACGGACCCTGCATTAGTACTTTAAGGCGTTATTTCTGTCCACTTGTCCGTCCTTCTGCAGATAGAGTTTTATTAATGACTGGAAAATGTAAATCAGTGAAAATAAACTTGTAACCAGGAAACATTTTCTTTCATGCTTACACATAACTTTCCATTAATTTAAGCGAGGAAGTGTCACCTCGATGAAGCGCAAATAGAAACTCCTGATCAGAACTCCATTTTGGAGTGATGAATGTGTTGGAGTGTGAAAGTGTGATTGTGATAATTGCTTCTCTCTGTCTATTTTTGAGATTTTTTTTTGCCCTGATTTTTTACATGTATTTATAGTCCATCATGTTAATAATCATTTACAGTTTTCTTGAGTTGTTGCTACAAAATTGGTGGTTTTGCTCTCACCCTGTGCTCCCTGTGGTGCCGACAGCTTGAATGACTTGCCCTCCATTCAGACTTTAAATTGTTAAAGTGCATCAATCACAGAAGGGCAGGAAGTACATGCCAAATTCTGTGTTCTTGTCAATGAAATGCATTCTCAAAGCCTGTTGAACTTCCTGAATTCTTGAAGTGGTGGATTTTCTTTGATTCAATGTTTCTTTAAGAACTAAAGCTCACATTGTAGCAACTCTTTAGAGCTGTCATCACAGAGTGGCTTTCAAAGAAAGTAAAGGCAACAGACATACAATACAAACCTTTTACATCTGCTTTAAAGGAGGGCCAGATACAACCCACAGCCTGTCATCAGATGTTACTTCTGTAACGCAATGAGAAGGGCACAAAGAAAAATAAAGAAATACAGAAATCCAAAATATAAAAGAACCAAAACTTTTTTTACTCTAGCTAGACATAGTCTGTTCTTGTAGGATTACTTGGCGTATAATAAGAACAAAATATGTTTGTAGGACCTTTTAAGTCTATTGTTTTTTGTCCACTTTTCTCATAGTGGTGTATATATCTCTTTCAAGAACAAACCCCACACATCTACAAACATAAAAACTTAAAAAACGTGACAGAAGCTTTTCTTTGGCTTTGTAATATTGCAGAAAAATAGATCCGCGGCTAACACATGTTTTGTATTAACCACGGACCGTATTTCTGGAATCTTACCAAAAACTAGTTTATTAATTGAAAACATATTCACTTTGAGGCGAAGGAGCTTGGAAGTGCTAAAATGCTAGCTCATTTCTGGGTGTAAGACTCATTCCTTCTCCACTATATCGCACCATGAGTCTTTTGTGACCTTTATAATACCGAAACAGAATCTCTATTATTACCACCTCAGATGCCCACATGTTGACGTGGAAATGTGTTCTATTTAATGCCTCAGCTAGTGCA